CATATCCTGCATTCATAACCATTTTCCTAAGAGCTTTTCTTTGATCTCCCTCGTAAAATTTTGGACGATATGTCTAATGCAATAGACATGCGTAGAAGGAGGGTCATGCCAACCGTTTGCAGGATTGTTGTATGCACTCTCAATAGATGCATGTCTATCAGAGATCAAGCAGAGATTTGGTTGAGGAGCCGCGTGTGTTCGAAGATTCTTGAGAAAGAAGCTCCAAGCACCACCAGTCTCTCCCTCGACTAGGGCAGTGGCAATTGGGAAAATGTTGTTGTTGCCATATTGTGCAACTGCCATCAGTAGCATGCCTTTGTATTTCCCATACAACCAAGTCCCATCAATTTGAATAATTGGTTTGCATGACGCAAACCCTATGATGCAAGATTGAAAATCCCAGAACACTCAACTGAATATTCCATTTCCGGTGAGTTAACTACCATCTGGCGCGTACGCTGGCAATGTTTCCAGAATGTAAACAGTACCCGGAGAATAAGTCTGAAGTGCATTCAGGTAGACAGGAAGTTCTTTGTATGACTCCTTCCAGTTTCCATATACCTTTTCAATCTCCTTGGTCTTTGTTAACCACGTCTTTCGGTATGACGGAGTATAGTTAAATATCGTAGTGATGTGAGAGATTATGATTTTCACATGATGGATTGTTATTGATGAGGGGTAGGATTTCTTGACATATGAGATCATAATTTAGTTTCTGATGATCCTGTGATTGAGTAAAACTGACACACGTGTGGGTGGACATAGAACCTATGACCCAACGATCACCTCTTAATCAATATGATGCAGTGAGCTTGAACATATAATCTGGGTGGATACACTTGATCTTGTACCTTTCTGGATTTACACGATCTACCTTAAAATCGACCGAGTTGAGCATGTGAAATTTTTTTATGGCTCGGATACTATTCTCTTTTACAAAATTTGTCTTTCTCTTTTAAGTTTTCATCCGACTGCATATATGGATTGAAAAATAAATCAGATGACGGTTTATCTCTGCCCATGTTGAAGTTTATCATGTACGAAGGTGGTGTGTAGATCTCGTTTGAAGGTATACCAGGTATCCCATCGTCTTTGGAATCATCGTTGACCATGTCGTCAAACTCTAACTCATCATCTTCTTCTTCTTTGTCAACGACATCTACTTCTGCTTGTTCGGTCTCCAGAGGATCAACCACTTATGACAGTTGAGGCTCTCGCAGCATAATGTACAACTCAATAGAGTCGTACCCAGAATACTCATGATTGGAAAACATATTCTGAAGGTCCTCGTCATCTTAAACCTCAACCTTATAAAATATTATTTGGTTATTACAAAAAAAAACCGGATTCTGATAAAAGATTTGTGTCACGGGACCTCGTCCAAGTTTGGCCTCCAATTGTTTTTTGAAATAAAAGAAATTGGCTTTCCTGTTTAAACAAAATTGGATGTTCTCAATTTCTCAAAATAAAAACCCAGAGGTGGGACAAATGTGTCTCACCGATGAAATGTGCACTGATCACATATTAGGATGCATAGGCCATTGTGTATGACTGTTTGAAGGTTTGAAGGTTTAAGTGTTTGATTGTTTGACTCTTTGAGTTAATTGTTTGAATTTTTGAATGTTCTCGTGTTTGAGTGATTAAGTGTAGAAGTGTTTTGATAAATGTTGGACTAAATAAGTTGTATTGAATTTGAATAAAATAATAATAAGCAACCTCTAATTCTCCTCCCTACATGTCCAATCGTATTACATGCATGCAAAGATGCCTTCCCCAAGGCTGCCACCTAGCCTGCACCTACACTGCAACCCATGCCACCTCTAATTCGCCAACAGGGATGGCGACACCTTACATTTTTGTACTCATTCACCAAGTCCAATGGCGCCTCCCTACACATCCAATCTTATTACGTGCATGCAGAGATGCCTTCCCCAAGGCTTCCACCTATCCTGCACCTACACTGCAACCCATGCCACCTCTAATTCTACATTTGGGATGGCGACACCTTTCATTTTTGTACTCATTCGCCAAGTCCAATGGCGCCTCCCTACACGTCCAATCATATTACATGCATGCAGAGATGTCTTCCCCAAGGCTGCCACCTAGCCTGCACCTACACTGCAAGAGTGACACTTATCATGCATGCATGCACCTACCAACCACCTCACTTACTATGTGATAAAATTTTGCCTATAAATACAGAGCCTCACATACTTCTATTGCATCCACAATCATCTCACTCTCTGCTACAAACTCTTTCATAATCTCAGACAATTTCAAACTCTTTCATAATCTCAGACAAATTCAACAATGACTCTTCTCACAATGGGATATTCTCACAGAGGCACAAGGGACAACATCGCAACGTTTGTAAGTTTCTTGTATACTTATACATTCTTCATACTTCTATTAATGCTTTATTCATCTTATGGACTCTTACACTTTTTACATTCTTAACTTAGGATACTAAAAGATTCAGAATTCAGTCACACAACTACCTTGCTCCCGACCCGTTAATCATACCCTATCTCAAATACGTAGGTTTCAGAAACGTTATAAAGATCTCTAACTGCACAATTGATTCAAAGTTCATACTTGCAACGTTGGAAAGGTGGGGACCAGAGACCCATGTATTTCATCTACCAACAGGTGAATGTACCGTCACACTAGAGGACATGTACATGTTATTAGGTCTCCCTGTTGACAGTAAGGCGGTTAACGGGTCGGTTCAACAGCCCAATTCTCTGTGTGAAGAATTGTTGGGCAGGGATATGGTTGAAGGTGGTGGTGTGAGAGGTTAAGGTATACTACTTACTGAGCTCAAAAATCATTATGCGACTCTGGAATTGAACGAAAATTCCTCCGAGCTAGCTAAGGTAATAAAAGCTAGAAATTATATAATGATACTATTTGGAACCTTTTTATTTCTCGAAAGTACGGGAAATAGTGTAAATTTTATGTATTTAAATTTACTTAGAGACTTTGAAAAAACTAGAAAGTATAGTTGGGGTTCTGTTGTTTTAGCTCATCTATACAGTTTCTTGTGTAAAAATGCAATCAAGGAAAAATGTACATTTTATGGCTGCACTTTTTTACTTCAAGCCTGGGGTTGGTGGAGAATGGAGTCCCTAAACCCCGTCAACAACAACACATTTGTTTTCCCATACGCAACAAAGTAAGTCATTAACTTATATCATTTATTATTATTCATCTCTTCACCAAATATATGATAAAAATAAAATATTTTTCAATTCCTTTAGGTACTGCGTGAGGGATATGGATTACGACAAGAATCCAAGATTCAATGTCGCTGTATATCGAAATCTATTGGATCACCTTGGCCCGGATGATGTACGTCATACCTTTCAATTTTTCTACTTTTAAATTATTTATTTATTACGTTTTTTTAAGCTGATTTAATTTTATCCGCAGTTTGTCTGGAGACCATATTTGGGTTTGGATCATGAACCAAACTCCGATGATGCATCAATTTGGAGCGCAAAGACTGTAATCATACGGTTCAATGTTGTGGAGATGCACCACAACGACCATGTCAAGATGCAGTTTGGAATGCATCAAGAGATACCCTGCGATCCAACTTGTCTGTCCCCGTGGCATCTCAAAAGGGTCGACGCCCAATGGGGTCTTACCAACTGGAAATATTTTTCTCTAGAATGGTGTAAGATATGGCAGAGGCGTCACCGACATGCCTTGCAATTCTCAGTTTTCCTCAACCATGGTAATATGCGACACACAGATCAATATTTAGGTTGGTACAGATCGGTTAGTACCCCAGAAATGCACGTGTCTCATTCAAGGTATTTGGTTGACCCACAAACACAATGGGCACAACCCTCATTTCCTCAACAACAAACCCAACACACATCAACCTCCCACCAACCTCCCCACGAAACAGAACCACAAACACCCAACCACAATCACCACCACTATACGATTACACCCACATGCCCCACAACCAACCACAATCACCACCTCAATACCAATACCCCCATATGTCTCACACCCAACCACAATTTCAATTACAATACCAATACACCCGCATGCCCCCCACACAATTTCAGTCTTCTACATATCCCAATATGGCCCACTCAACATCTAACCTTAGCCCTGATTTGGGATTTTCCGAAGATTATGAACCAACCGATCCAACTTACCATCAACCACCACATCACCAAAGCACCCAACATTCCCAATACCAAACACCCCAAGATCCATTTCCTTTCTACCCCGTACTCAAACGACCAGTGCTATAGACCAACCATGGAACCCCACCCACTACCAACACGACCAAACTTTGAGGGTATGGGTAACCGACTGTACCAAAACGGATCTTCTAGATATGAAGATCTGACTGATTTCATGGATCTGGAACACATTGACTTCGTTGGGCCATCGACCCTGCTACAATAGGAAACGCGACGAAACTCAGCACGGGAAAGGCGAAGACGGGGATGCGGAACCGGGGTTCATTACCGGGTTCCGAGAGACCACTAATTAATTTATATTTTTTTATGTAATCGTTTTGTGTAATCATATTGTGTAAATAAAAAGTCAATTTTCGTGATCCTATATCATTTACGTAACGTACCGCATTTAAAATAAAAAAACGTAAAAAATTACCTCCCAATTGCACTAAGACGTCATCTCACTTGACTTAGGGCAAACCTTTCACATATAGGCGCCGAGTGAGATGATGCCTCCCCTTTAAAATAAGATACATGCACCAACTGAGTTGCCTCCTTCCTTATAGAATTTTCTGAAATATAATTATTTGCATAATTTTTTTTCAAAATATAGTTATTTACGAATTTTTTTTTTAATAAATCGCCACTTCAACTATTTTTTTGTTTACCAATTTAATTAAGAGTCAATTTAGTGAGTAATAGAAAATGTGGACTTAAAAAAAAAAAAAAATCGCCACATCAACTATTTTTTTGTTTACCAATTTAATTAAGAGTCAATTTAGTGAGTAATAGAAAATGTGGACTCTCGAGAAGCGTGACAATTTATGGATCCTGACTCTCTCCGGCGACGACCAAAACCGCCTCAATCCAACCCTAATCGAATCTCTTCTCTCAACCCTATCAAATCTCGCTTCTCAATCCACTCCTGGCTCCGTTCTCATCACCACCGGCAAAGGAAAATTCTTCTCCAACGGCTTCGACTTGCCATGGGCTCGCGCCGCCGGCTCCAAATCCGCCGCAATGAACCGCCTTAGCTCCATGGTCCAATCCTTTAAACCCGTCGCAGCGGCACTGATATATCTTCCTATGCCAACCATCGCAGCCATCAACGGCCACGCCTCCGGCGTCGGATTCTTGCTTGCGATCTGCCACGACTATGTCTTGATGAGGAGTGACCATGGCGTGATGTACATGCCGGAGGTGAATCTCGCGCTGCCGTTTCCGGATTACTTCGCTGCCGTGTTTAGAGAGAAGATCAAGACGCCGGCGGTTCTGCGTGATGTGTTGTTGGCCGGCGTTAAGATCAAGGGGAAAGAGGCTGTTAAGATGGGGATTGTGGATTCGGCGCATGATAGTGCGGAGACTACGGTAGAGGCTGCTGTGCGCCTGGGGGAACAGTTGGCAGAGAAGAAATGGGTTGGTGAAGTGTATGTAGAGATAAGGAAGAGTTTGTATCCTGATACGTGTAAGGTTTTGAGTTTGACTCCGAAACCACTCATATCTAAGATTTGAATTGGATTTCAGATTTCAATTTTATGCCATTTTAATAAAGAATTTAATTGGATTCTAGTTTAAGTTTATGTTTTAATGCATCTAACTAGGACAAATATTTTTTGATGTCCTATTAGACTGATAAACTGACAAATTTTGGGTCCTGAGTTATAGTCCGTCTTTTACGCCCTCAAAGATGAAGTTCAAATATGCATTTAGTGGTTGGTTGAAAGATTAACTAACTATTTATGCAAATTATACCATGTGCAAGTCATAATGTGAATCATATAAATAATTGTGCATTGAAGTTTCTCATGATTGCATTCTTGATTTTTACTCAAACTCCATTGCCAACATGGTATGGTTTACAAAGGATTGACTTCTATTTTTTCTATTAATGAACATGTAAATTGAAATCAAGGTAATATATTATATACCTTTATCTATAATATACGCATCACTTGCAAGTAGTAGCAAATTTGGGAAACATTTTCAACAATTTGAACAGGTACTCGTACAACTAGGTGCCTCTCTAGAGGAAGAAGAATGCAAGAACTCGATGCAATCTGCTACAGCTTTCGCACGGTGTGAATCAGTGAGGTGATCTGATAATGAATGAGAGCTTACCAAAGTGGATGAAGAAACCTTCATAGTGGACGATCTCCTTCTCAAAGAAACAGTTTTTAGAGAATTTGTTACCTTTGCTCCAAGCCTTATTAGGAATCTGACAGGTAACATAATAGGGTCTCTGCTGTGAAATCTGAAACTCCAAGTTCCAATTATTCTCTTCCTGTTTCTTAATACTCTGCTGCAGCTGCTATGCCTTAGAATTATGGTTGGTTTCTCATGTATACCGGGACTAAAACATGCCCTTTTGCTTTTTCTAAACATTTGAATAGCAAAAACAAAGCTTCCCAACTGCACAAGAAGCCAATAGTTTATATTTTTCTATATAGTGAGAGGAATAGCATAGCAGTAGGAGGGGACAGTTGGAAAGGTTGGAATATATATATATTGATTTTTTAAGGGAATGCTAGCTAGGTAGTGAAATGGAAGAAAGGTATAGTAGGTTTAAAGGTAAATCATTAAGAGTGTGATGTTTCATGAACATTTAAGGATTTAGGTGTATGAGAAGTACAAAAGGAAGCAACTTGATCAGAGAATAAGTAAGCTTCATATACGTGGAAGACATGCACACATGGTCTTATTGTGGAGTCAAGTTTTTCCATTAATGAGGGAGAGCCCCACCATGATCAAGCTAATTTAGAGGCAAAATATGAAGTAAAACAATTTGTGAGGGATCAAAAAGAGAGAAAAGGGGGTTTTGGTTTGGTCAAAAAGTAAAAGGGTGGATCCTAAGATCAAAGGAGACAAGAGTGAAAATGTTAAGGTTAATATAAAGATGCACTAGTAACAGGTAGAGAGAGATACTGTATACTCTTCTAATCAGCTTTTCTTTTGAGATGGTATTGAAGGGCCTACCCATGTTTTTTGGTTCCTCTTTTATAGTATTTTGTTCTGTTTCTAAAATATGTATTTAGAGACCAGAGCTGTCTCAAGTTTTTAGAAGTCTAGTGTAATTTAGCCACAATTTAATCATGACAAAATAAATAGAGGTTCTAGCTAATTATGACAAGTATTTTATGAGATCCTATTTAATTACAGTTTAACTGTGATAAATTTTAAGTCATGTGCGGTAGTTTGTCTTCAAAGACGGCCCTGTCTATGATATGCGTTGTTTAGAGAAAGACAGATGTGAAGGGGATAAATTTGAATATGAGAAAAAGGGTTGGCGTGAAAATTAGGGAATCACTTAATCATATTTTTGTAGTTCCTTTTTCTATGTTGGAGAGAAAAATGAGCCTCCATAATGGCATCTCTGCAAGTTTATTTCTCAAGCATGCCTTTTGACCTGTGTTTGATTGGATGCACTTATTTATTTGTCAGTGTCACATGTTTATTTGGTTGTGTTGTCTTTACAAACATGTCTTACAAATGAAACAAAATGAATGGTGAGAAATTGTATAGAATTGTCTGATTACTAAATATTGTAATGTTGATCAGAATGTTTTATGTTACACATTATTTTATAAGCATTTTATGTTATACTGATTTGATCATTCTCCTAATCAATACTGAAATCAAAAGTTTGTTTGTGGTGTTATTAAACAACTAACAGCATCTCCAATGACGCAACTCAGTTTTACGTTTTTTTTGTGGGACTTATTAAGACACGTTATGTTGAAGTAACTTATCTAATTTTCACTTCAATAGTACGACTTTAAAAAACTCATATTGAATTCATAATTTTACTTTATATATTAATATTTTATTTATATTAAATTTTATTTTATTTTAAAATAAAATTTAAATTATTTAAATAAAATTTTTAAGAGAAAATGAAAGTGCGAGAGAAAAATTGTTGATAAAATTTATCAAATAGGTTTATTTATAATCAATTAAAGTGTTAAAAAAAAAAGAAGAAAAAAACAAATGTGTTTAGCAATGACATTATTAATTTTTTTTATTATTAAGAAATGTTGCAATGCATTACAACGATTGTCCGGCCTGGTTAACTCCAATCGAGAAAAAATTGAAAAGGATGTTGGCCATGTTGGAGAACTGAAGAAAAATCTCCTGTTGGAGACACTCTAAGAGCTACTTTTGCATTCTTGAATGGGAATTTCTTAATATATGTTTATAGGTTGAAAAATAGTTTTGAAAACTCTAAAATATTCTTTGGATATATATATTTTCAAACGAACTCTTAAAATGTGGTTCGGATATGCATATACGATAACTTCTTTTTTGCATGTTATTATAATTTAAATGTTGGATTTAAACATTCAGTGAAGGTTTCAGATATGCACATCTGAGTCCAACTTAGAGGTATTTCTGATGTGCATATCCGAAACTCGTACAGAACCAGAGAGAATGGAGGTAGAAGGCAGAATAGTGGTGTGTGGTAAAAAATTTATTAAACATACTGAAAATAAACACAATAATTTGATACGTAATCCATTTGATTTATATTGAAAAATCGAAAACCAAAATGATACGAAAATAGTGATTAGAAATGCCAGAAATGTAATACAAAAGTTGTTCATAAAGTACGAAATGACAAACGATTACATCGGAAAATACAAAATAGAGCATACTCTACTGCGTATGTCCAATCCTAACTCCCTGGCCCTCCTCTGCCTAATGTAATCTGCTGCACTCGATGCATCCTTAATCACCCTCTCTTTAATGGCCACCGCCTCATCTCTGCCTCTCTGAATGATCCCTTGGTCCAAGGCCTTCTGCCCAATCAAGTGCATCCTCTGACATATCGGTAAGAGATCAGTGGCATGGTCATCATGAGCCGGCTGGTTCTCAATCATCTTCTCATGAGCTGGTCTGGATGGACGTCCAGGAGTATCGAATGTCATGATATGATGTAACACTTGGAAGAACCATGTCACCTATTCCTCTACACAATGCCAAGCGTTGAATGTCGGCGTCATCATATACACCTCCAGGACCATATAAGTCTTTCAGTCCTGAAAAATGTCATTGAGATCCCGACGAACAATGCGATCTGAAGCAGCCTCAATGGGAGATCTAGGAATGAATTGTGAAGTGGTGAAAAACACAAGAAGGGGGGGTTGAATTGAAAAACTGAAATCTAATGCAATGAACAAGATATTTTTATCCTGGTTCGTTTGATCTCAAACTACTCCAGTCCACCCGTCAAGGTGATTTCGCCTCTCTCCAACGAGGTCTTAATCCACTATATTCAACTGAATATTACAGACTGCTTTAACAACTGCTAAAGCCTTCTTGATCCAAACCACAACCCGGTTTGTCAAGGTAACACTTTCTTACAAAGAGATAAAACTAAGTGTGTGGATGTTTTCTACAAAACTTTATCACAACTGTGATGTATACACAAATTGAAGCTTAGAAACTAGATTGCTAAACAATGATAGAATATCAGAGTGTGTGGTTTAGCAAAACTGAGAGAAAGAAGATTAGCTTTTGTGCGTGTAGAGATTTGGAGAGCATTAGCCATTTCAATCTTCAAAGCCTTGTTTATATAGCACTGAGATGATGAACGTTGGATGCAATATTCTTGATTAAATGCTAATAACAAGCTTTCCTTATTGAGCAGATCTTGTCTGGAATGAGGCCGTTGGAATTAATTTGCTTTCAATGCACAGTACTGTTGCTTACTTAATGCAAGTTCTGGCTTGGCTCATTCTGACTCTGCTTTGCTGCTGATGAACTGTTGTGTTTCTTTATCAGAGTGTTGAGCGCAGTCTTGTTCATCAGGCTTCAGCATGTACGAGTTGATCATCTGATTTTGACATTCTGATATGGCAACTTCTGATGCTGGTGTCTGAAATCAAGTTCTGATGCTGAAATGATGTGATCTTGCTTATATCAATCAGAGTATCTGCAAGTCAGAACATAATAATTTTAGGCAGCAGATAGTTCATACATGAAACTTATAAATACTATATCTTTTCACTTTGTTATCATCAAAACTTAAATATAGGGTAGTAGATTCAAACTTTGTTCTAACAATCTCCCCCTTTTTGATGATGACAAAAACTAGATATTTTAAATGAAAATAACGTGAAAAGGTATCTGGAATATGTATCAGAATAAGAAGTAAAAGGATAAAGAGTAAAGAGATATCAGAGTTGAGAGATGCTCCCCCTGAGTTTGTTACTTCCCTTTGATTACACGTGTTCTTCAGGATCAGATCTTTTTACCTTTCTTTGAACATCAGAGTATCAGAGTCTTTGACTTATCAGAAGCTTTATGTCAGAGCAGAGCTTCAGAGCTTTTCTTGTCAGAGCTTTGCTTTGGATCAAAATATCAGAGCGGATCAGAACTTCATAGTGATCAGAGCTTCAGAGCTTCTAGTCTTCAGAGTGTCCAGGAGCTTCCTTGTACCTGTAGACTTTAAGCAAAACAGAAAAACATTTTCAAGTAAATAGAGTTAGAATGTTTGAGAATTTCTGTCTAGTTAG